GTGTTCGTTATTTTGGTTAATTACGGGAAGATGGCGGTTCCGGCAAAAAAAAAAAAAAAGCAAATTTGTGCAGCTTTCTAATAACACACATTTTTCATAAACTTTTTGAATATTCCTATCATCCTTCCACATTGGCTGAGAATCACTTAAAAAGCAGCTATACACAAAATACCTTCCAAAAGCATGTTAGCCCTTCTTACACACACGTAGAAAAGTCACTATTTAAAAGCAAACTATCACTTTTACATACATACCCCACCAACCAAAGTGAGTGGTGATATTCTTGGTCCCAAAATGTGCACAAGTCAAGGATATCAAGAAAGCACATAGGAAAAAGGACATAAAGCCTCCTCTCTGTCCACACTCACAAATGTGGTCCTCAATAGTACTAAAAGATCCAGGACATTTCCTAAAGCTTAATATGAGAAAGAACACACCTGAAAAATGATACCCGAGATACTGCCACCCATTTTCCTTGTGGCCATTCAATGATGCTTTCCAACTGCAGAATAAAGCTTAAAAAAGGAGGCAACACAATGGGCCTATTCAGAAGCCCTACTCCTTCTTTTTCCAGGCTTAACTATAGGATTGGTAGAATTTAAAGCATAATTACCTAAGAAAAATGCTACAGTTTCAGAAAAGGACGACAGGAACATACTGGGAGCCACTTCTCCTAGGACCCTGCCCAGCTGTTGATCCAGGGTCTCCCCTTGAAGGCGTTCATCTCTCTTAAAAAATAAATAATACATAAATAAATATGTGATTCTAAAATTCCCCAATAACAATGCTACCTCTTTGTTGACTGTGTTAACTCAATGAGGAAGAAAGATGATGAGTGGATGACTAATATCTTCTAAGCATGTATACTTTAGTGGGCTTCCCAAAAGTTCTCATGTTAATTTATTCAGAGTATTTCTGAACCACTGAGCTTGGTATCAGGTGATTCTGGGCCATGTTACCTAAAAAAACCCCAGGGCACAGGGCTGCAGGTGGCTGGACTATTAAATGACACTATCACATGCCACTTAGTCTCTGCTCAGGGAAGGATTATAAGACTGACAGACCCACATTAGTGGAGTGTGTAGTGACTTTTTAACTTTTTCAGTGGCAAGTTTGAACAAAACAAATATACCAAGGGACTTCAAAGAGTTAATGAAAAATGGGACCAGCAGTTAGCGTAATGGCTATGTTGCTGGACTCCCATGTAGTCGACTGTGGTTCGCATCCTGGACCTGGTGGCTTAAAACTCACACCAGGCGCATGTGCGTGCGTGCCCAAGATCCCAAGAGGAGAATGGAGGAGAAGGGATTGTGGCGTGGCCATTCCCCCTAGGGGGTGATTTCTCGCTTTCTGTCTCTCTGTCTCTGTCTGTCTTGCGAGCACATGCGCCCTATAGCAAAAACTTCTCAAAAAAAAAAAATGTTAATGAAAAAAATGGAATTAAAACCCAAGTTTATATTGGTGTTAAAAACTGTGAAATTTGTGCAGTTTTCTAATAACACACATTTTTCATATGCTTTTTGAATATTCCTCATATCATTCTTCCACATCAGCTGAGAATCATTTCTAGACCCAAAATATTTTCCAAAAGCATGTTAGTCCTTCTTACACACATGTAAAAAAGTCACTATTTAAAAGCAAACTATCACTTTTACATACATACCCCACCAACCAAAGTGAGTGGTGATATTCTTGGTCCCAAAATGTGCACAAGTCAAGGATATCAAGAAAGCACATAGGAAAAAGGACATAAAGCCTCGTCTCTGTCCACACTCACAAATGTGGTCCTCAATAGTACTAAACGACACCAGGGCTTGGACAGCTGCCAGCTCCATGTAAACAGGAAGTTATACCTGGTAGGTCTGCACCAGAATGAAGATGTTATCCACCCCAACAGCCAGCACCAGGAACGGGATGACTTCAATCACAATGAGGGTCAGTGGGACCCCAATGTAGCTGAAGATGCCCAGTGAGCAGGCCACTGAGCTCAACACAATCAGGATTCCTGCAATGCCCAAGGAGATTTTAGAATCCACCTGAGCAATGAGATGAGGAAAAGATCATCGGTTAGTGGTTTTTTTGTCCTACTACTAAAACATTCTTATTTTTACTTCTTTACATGGGTATTATCTAATCAAAGTTAAAAGTACACTTCCCAGTTTGAGAGAAGATATGAAAAAATTTCAAGGTTTTCTCTAGCGAAGAGAAAAATAATTTATGAACTTGCATTCTGAATAGATGAAGTGGACAAATTAGGAAAAAACTAGACTACATAAATTAAACTTCAAGATAAACCTAAAAACTAGACCTGAAGAAAACAGGGGAAGGAAATAGATATGTCACATACAATTAAAACGCAGGGAATTTAAGGCAATTTTAAATATAATGAATTAAGAATAAAGGCAGAGACCAGCAGTTAGTGTAATGGCTATGTCGCTGGACTCCCATGTGGTCAACTGCAGTTTGAGTCGTGGACCCGGTGGCTTAAACTCACGCTGGACGCGTGTGCGTACGTGCCTAAGATCCTGAGAGGAGAAGGGATTGTGGCGTGGCCATCCTCCCTGGGGGGTGATTTCTCACTTTCTGTCTCTCTCTGTCTTTCTGGTGAGCACCCTATAGCAAAAACCTCTCCAAAAAAAAAAAAAAAAAAAAAAAAAAAAAGGCAAAAATAGAACATCACACTGTGTACTTCCATTCTCTGTCCCACAATAAACATACACCACCACCCACACACACTTACCAGAAACCTGTGACAACTCTTGATGTGCCCCAAGGCCAGGGAGATATACAGAAACATGATGGCATAGCTAATTACAACAGTGAAGACATCACTGTTACTCTCACGATTGAGTTCATCTTCAATACTTCGTTCAGAAGTGAAAGAAATAGTGAGATTTGGATTCTTGTAGTTTTTCACAAAATTAATAAACCTAAAGAATATGCAAAATTTTGTATTATTTTAAGAAATGCTAAAATTTAGTCACAGCTAAAGAAGAAACTTCTTCCCAACCCTTACGACTCAAAGGCCATGCCTAGTTAATCTTCATCCTGCATTAGGATCTTCCACACCAGGGACTAGAAGGGGAGACATGTCAAGACATGACAGAATTTCTACCATTTAAGACAGGTTTAGAATAAATTTTAAAATTTTTATGTTCTTCCTATTTCTTTTTTTACTAAGAAAGATTTCTCCACAAAGTGTGTTATAATAAAGATACACACTCATGGAACAAAATTTTAAAAGTGACTTACAGGTGCAACACTATGCCTTTCAGAATCCCAGATAAATTCTTTGCAGAAACTGACAAGCTGATTCTAAAATTCATATGGAATTATAAGGGATCAAATGTAGCCAAAACTTTTTTAAGTAGGAGGACTCACATTTTCCAATTTCAAAACTTACTACGAAACAACAGTAATCAAGACAGTGTGGTATTGGCACATGAACAAAGATCAAAGGAACAGAAAAGACAATCCAGAAACTGACCATGTGTCTGTGGTCAACTAACTTTCAACAAGGATGCCAACTGCATTCCATGGGGGGAAAGAACAATCTTTTCAACGAGTGATCTGGGACAAATGGATAGCTACAGGCAAAAGAATGAACCTGGATCTTTACCTCATAAACTACACAAGAATTAACCCAAAGGGGCCGCCGGACGACGGCCCCGGGGGCTCATGCCCCCGGCGCGCAGCAGCAGCAGTGACCTCTTGACTCAGAACCTCGAGAGACGGCACAGGCAGGGCCGCCGGGGGGA